CAAGCCCTCACCAAAATGGACACTAAACACGTTGTGTTCATGACAGTTCTATTCTGAACATCATCAGAACATTATCAAAAGTTTATTATGAGAAATGCTTTTGTTATTCCATCCAAGAACACAAATTTGTGTTTTAATGACACCGGTTCAATGAGTAACATTAGCGATTCTAGAAAATGATATGTTGCGGGATGAATGAAATGAATGAACATTTAAAATACGAAATCAGAATTTTGACAAATTTTATTTGTGCGATAAATCATCAGTGGCATTCAGTTAATATCTTTTCAAGTGTAACGCAATATCATGAAATCAGAATGCTTTTATGTTGTCTTTCTTAAGCATAACAGATCGATACATGAGTCCAAATAGGCTTCATCACAAATTTTGATCATAATTAATGCCCATTATACCTCTCGTCATATCCACAGGGGTATAATGGGCACTGAATATGATATAAATGCATTTACTGCGTACAGGTCATCCATTCATGTGCTTAAATATTTTCATACGGACATTCAGTTAGCAAATAATGTCGATTTACTCATTGATTCGTTTGATATTCACAATTCATTATGAACGCAAATCGAGCTGTTGCATTCCAAAAGTGTTTTTCAAAACGCACTTCCTGTCACTGCTACGGAATCATGCATTCATGCCTCTACGTGCATCTACGCAGANTCACCCGTCAAAGCACGCATGCGCAACGGGGTTTTTCTCCATCTCGGCCGCTCTGTTGTAATCACACACTATTTTCTTTCTCACCGCTCTTTCGCACTACTATTTCACACAATAAAATTCGATGAATTTCCAACAAGTTGAAGTGAACACAATGCTGCATTAAAAATTTAGTCGATTAAAGCCGACGAACGGATTCCACTCTGAAACGATGCGAGTTACTCTAATTAGCGTAACCAGAACTGAGGATCAGTTGATACAGTAGTCAAATAACGATATATGACATAACCGCAGAAGTTAAGCTTTACCTCTCGAACTAAACGAAATTCCTCAACAACAAATGTGATCTTCTGATAGCCGAGAATCTGATCTATTGAATAGTATACAAGAATCATTCAGCTGCCGAACAAATCTAAGGATTGGGTTACGTTAAAGACATGGCTCGTCTCATATTCCTATGGTATTGCATTAGTGATTAACAGAGAGATTGAAAGTTTCCGGTAGCCTTATTCGCCATCATTTCCTTTCATTGACAGTCACCTTCACTCGCGCCAATCGGAGCAGATTTCATAAATTAACAGTCAAATGCAAAATTTCTCCACTTGTTTTTTTTCGATCGCAGATTGAAATATTTCTTCAGTATATTTGCGTTAAGAGTACTGAACACTATGATTGTTTTGAACAACTATTGGAGACTTTTGATAACGTTGGATGTTCGCTAAAATTCGACTGTTATCCAAATCTTTCCGAAACACAAAACTGATTCAATTGTTTGCACTCACCTATGTTGCACTGAAATTGTCTTGGCAGTTTGTCACTATGTGCAGTTGGCGGAGTGATTGTATGCTGCAACATTGTTTACAAACAAAACTCGCACGGTTATTTACCTTTAAGGAAGGAAATAAAAGATCTTCTATAATATTTTTATCGATTTTCGGAAGAAAATTTGATTTTTCGACTCTATGCATAGCTAACTGTCAACCAAAAAGCAGTAAGTTAATTTGTATCCGTGTGTAATTTGTATTTTACATGCACTAGTTCTGTATTGCACTTTGTTATTTGTCAATCTTCGGAGCTGTTGTTTATTATGAGTTTGAACTAACCGAAACTGTGAAAATATTTGAGGCATACTGAAGAACTTTGGCCCAATATCGCTCAATACTAGCCGGGAACCGTGTACAGAAGGAATCCAATGAGTATCAATCTGAAGGATGTTTCCGGCTCAAAAATCTCGAAGAACAACGGTGACTGTGCGGCATGTGGTCGTAGCACTCTCAAATCTTCGTTGTAAGCTGTCTTTCCGACATTCATTTTGTGAAAATTGCCAAGGTCCTATTTCCATTAACCTGTTGCTGATTCACAGCGGAAATGCGCAAATAATTTACATATTAATATCGTTTAATTGTAGAATAAAATCTTCGGATCGATCACAAAGCTGTGAAAAATTGAGACGAGAGCAGGATACGTTTTGGATACAATGTGATCATTGCGATTGTTGGTATCATGGAAGGTTGGTTTTTAGTAGTAATTAGGGTAATTTTATTTTCAAGTTTAATATGATTGCTGTTGCTATTAGTATTGTTATCATAACCAAATAATAATTTAGATGTGTTAATGTTGAAGAATACGAGAGTGCACTCATCGAAAAATATCACTGTGAACGATGTGCGATCACACAAGGGCCCACGATCAGTTACTATGATTCATTTATTGTGTTTTCATTAGTTAATTGTTATCGTTGTACTATTATTAGGATGGTTTTGAATTTTTAGTGAAAAAGGCTTTGCTGGATCATCGATACGCTTTCGACGATATTAGTCAGCAGAATGAGGTTTATCATTATCGTTTGGATTAGTGTTTATATATTCATTGAAGCTTCGTTGTTTTGTTTCAATTTGAGAAGTTGTGAGAATTTGAAATGGAGAAAATAATTATATTCAGCCCACACAAATCGGAACAAAGCGTTTCATTGACGAGTTCAAGAAGACTTCTGAGCAAATTCCGATTGCGTTAGTAAATATCATTTCCATTGATATGTTTCTTTTTGTTTGAAAATTTTGCAAAAAAATTTCATTTCGCCAAAAAGTTGATCTATTATTATTGTTATTGCAGTAATTATTGTTTAGAGGCAGCGAGCATTTAACGTGTGTATCAAATGGTTATGAGTTTATGCAAAATTTCAATCATAGTAAAGCTTGGCACAATGTTTATCTTATTGCCAACCCAGAAGGTCTTGGAATTCAGCTACCGAGCAAAGATTTTTCATTGAAGGATTGTGTGGATGTCGTTGGTGAGTCTGAATGTTTGGCCAATTTATTATTATTGTTATTATTATTATTCTTATTATTATTATGGTCATTATTATTGTTATTGTTATTGCCACTATTATTATTAATGTTATTATTGTTTATTATTGAAGGTGAAAATCGGATGGTTGACACAATTGATGTTTACAAGCAGTACACATTTCAAATGAGCTTTGGACGCTTTTATGAACATTTCGTAGCTGAGGAAAGACCTCGACTGTATAACATTCTCAGTTTGGAGTTTTCAGATTCAAAGTGAATATTTTTTCATTTGTCTTTGTTATTGAAGTATTATTATTTCTTTATCAGGATTGGTTTTATTATTCTTATTAATAATATTATTATTAATGAATGAGTGAACATTTTTGCAATTCACTATTTTATCGTTTAGATTAAGTGAATTTGTGCAGCCACCAAAGCTCGTCGCTGACCTCAGTTGGGTGCATAAATTTTGGCCGCAAAATAAAAGTTTGTTTATGTCGCAAATAATGCGCATTTGTTTTATTCGTTTTTTATTTGCCTTTCAAAAGAATTCTCATTTGAATTTTTTTCTTGAGATTTGTTTTCACTTTTTTCAATCTTAATTTTGGGTTTCTTCAATTCATCAGATTGTTTTTTTTGTTTGGATGAAAATTGTTCCTATTTTGTGATTGATCGTCCGAAATTTTTCGATTCATTTGTAATCGTTTTTAGAGGATTCAACGCCAGTATCGGCGATGATAACCAGTCGTACTGTTTTCAATGAGCATTTACGTGCCAAACCTGAAGTGGAGCTGTTTTGTTTGGTTGGAATGAAAGATTCGTATACGGATTTTCATATTGATTTTGGTGGGTCGTCGGTTTGGTATCACGTTTTTAAAGGGAGGAAAGTGTTCTACGTGGTGGCACCGCTGGAGAGGAATCTACAAGCGTTCAGTAACTATCAGAATATGGCGAACCGAACAGAAGTGTTTTTTGGTGATCTGATCGCACCCGGGCAACTGTTTAAGGTTGATTATTCTGTGTTTATCTGAGTTGGTACTTTTGTGGATTGGCTTTTTTGAAAATGTGATCCCTTGGAATAACTCTGTTTGTTGAATACATTCTCTGCAGATCATTGCCATTTAAAGTTTAAGCTGATTGCAAAATGGTTCATGTTGTTGTTGTTATTAGTGAATGAGTGCAAATTTGATCTATCTTACTAGCAGTTCTAATTTCACTGGTTAACTTATAATGATATGATAATAGTCCTTGTTTGGAGTAGTAATTGATTAAGGTGATCATAAACGAAGGTGAGACACTAATGATACCATCTGGTTGGATTCACGCAGTGTGGACGCCATGTGACTCACTTGTTTTCGGAGGAAATTTTTTGCATTCGTTGAACATTGAAATGCAATTGAGGTTTTTTTTTTCAAAATGGTTTTGTTAATTTTTGTTCAGTATTATTATTATCCTAAAATATTACTGTTTAATCAACTTTTGAGGATCTATGAAATGGAAACATCATTGGAAACTGAAGACCGTTTCATGTTTCCTTCGTTTGAATTAGTCAATTGGTATGCTGCAGTTAGTATTCTAAGTAAATTCAAAGGTTTGAATTCCAATAATGATTTATTTTAAACGTTATTGTTAATACTACTATTATTAGGTGTTTTTTTGTGAATTTAGAGGCAAATCTACATGGCACAATTATTGATGGATGGTTATTGACAGGAACAAAAGCTTTGCTTGTTTCGTTAAAGCGTTGGATTTCGAGAGATGAGGTAAAAAATTGATGATGCTCTTATTTCAGTATAGGTTAATTTTATTTGTTCACTTTCGTTCTTGTTATTTTCTAATGAAAAATTTTATTTTTGGTAAACTTTGGAGCAATTCTCATGTTGAAGTAGGAAAAAATTGTTTTTGTTGATTACTTATGCGTAGGCTGGTAATATTTAGAATGTTAAAGCGCATTTTCTGAAGCTATACATTTTTCGAAAGTTTTGCAGTTACCAAATTATTGGTGAGCCTGAGCCAAAGCCAAAGTCTAAACATCATCTCTAATCTCCAAAACACAACAACGAAAGAACACATATTCATAGGGATTTTCTAGTTATCGTTTGAAATATTATAGTATTTTGTTTGTTGTGCACTTTGTAGGCAACTGATGGTGATATAAGTGATTCACAATGGTATAAAGTGTATCGCAAATTGAAACGCAATGTTCATTTCTACGAAAAAAAATATCGTTTGAAAACGACGGCCACAGGCATAACAACAACGACATATGATTGTAATTCGGCGAAATGTGAATCTGCTGGGCCACAATTGTTAAAAAAATTAGTGAATATATATGAGAAGGACGTTTCATCGCCGACTGAACAATTGGTAACGTCGAAACTTGAGCAGTCACATAAAGGCAACGGAACTGGTGACAACGAAGATGTAGTACACCACTCACAATCGGTATTTTTTTCACTGCATACATTTATTTGTTCTCATAACATAGATTCATTTGAAAGGAGACAGACTACTTTTATGAAGTGCTTTCCACGTGGAGATTTTCAGTGGCAGTAATAATAACGGTCGTGTGGAAGATCCTCACTGTTTTGCGTGTTTACTCTTCGAAAGAGGACTAAAGGGTGTTGGGGAGGATTAAGGATCGTCGTTATTCAATAACTGGATATTTATTTTGTGATCCCTGTTATACCAATCATTGTTTTAATATTGTATTATTATCGATATTATTATGATCACCATTGATATTACTTCAGAGAACTGATGGCGGTGGAAATAACTATGGGCTTGTGTTGACGAAACGTAAAAGACTGAGTGGAAACGAAGTTAGTTTATTTTTTTGTTGGATGAAAAGTAAACGAATAGTTGTTTTATATTGAGTTTTGGACTTTATTTATGTAATTGTACGTTCTAGTTTGATTGTGCTGATGATGAAGTTGGTGCTGCTGATGATTGTTCAACGATTAGGCAAGCAAATGAACGCTGGAACCATATAGCTGGTGCAACAGAAGCGAATAATAGAGATAACAATAATAATGATACAATACGAATGCGAAATTCAACGAAGATGGCTGAAAATAAAAACGACCTCAGTGAAGAAAATGGAAAATGTTTTGTAAAAATAAGGAACGTGGAGCGTTCAGCCACACCGATTTTGCCTGAAGAGCAAGATGAAGTGCAAACAAGTCTTTTGTCGATGTTCTCGTCATCAAAGCGTTCAGTACACGGTCGTCAACCTAAACCAAGTCAATGGGTGACTTCAACAGTTGAAATTACACCCCCGTCATCATCTAGTTGTAACAATAATATTGGTACGTACGTGTTATTGCGTGTATGTTCAAGTTTCTTTCATTGTCAACTTCTTTCATTGCATGTTTGTTTACCCGTTCCTTTTGAATACTTCAGATGCTCCGGTAGGTACTCCTACAGCCAAAAAGTTCCCACCACCGCATGAAGAATTTTTAAAATCGTCTTCACTGAGCACTGGATCATTGTCATCATCAAAGGTGCAACATCAACAGAATGTGATCGATGCTGATAATACTAATATTAATATAGATGCCAGTTCATCGGTCAAAGGTTGTCCCAAAAAGCCCGGTTAGTATTTTACTATAGTTGCTGTTGCTTTTACTGAGAACTGGGTATTTCCAGTTGAAAGTTGTTTGTTTATCAATTTTTTAGAAATGGATCAAAACAATACCGGCAGTGTGACAGTCATCAAGAAGAAGAAAACTCCAACAACGGCTCGTCAGAGACTAGCGCGGAAATTGAAAATTAGGTTTTAAATGCACGTTGTGTGTTGTTTTATTTGTTCAGTTATTCAGTTCTATTAGTGTTAATAATAGCGATAATGTGATATTCTTATCGTTAATACCATAACATTACCAACGATAATATTCGTGTATATGTAATGTGCTAACAATACCTCATCATGTACATATTTATATCTATCTCAGGAATTTCAATGCAGCTAGTATCATTAATAATGTTGATTATAACAGCCATAATTTTGATGATAATAATAAGAAGAAATATCCCAAAGCCTCTATTGCTATCATCATTATTAACTATTGACACTGTGTATCTGTGCGCCTCAACTATAGAACTATCCAATTACTATTAGTTACATTATAAAACTGTCATTATTACACTACTGTTCAGTTTTGTTTCTCCTTCTCTTCATGAGATGAATGTAACTTACCTCTTTTATTCGGAATTTTTGTTGCAGTTTGGTGCTTAAAAATAAATCTTTCGCCTCAGGTATAGTTCATTCGCCTCTGTTATTTAGGTCTTTATTTCCTGCCGTACATCGCTCCTGTTCCCCTTTGTTTCCTGAAACATGAGTATTTGTGGTGTAGTATAAATAAAGAGAGGCAAAATTTAGTACAACTTTAGTTTCAAATAGTAGTAGGTAAGAAAGAGGACCAGAACCATTGCAAAGCAATATATTGTCACTTCAAATTTGGGGCAGTTTTCGACGATACCAAAACAACTCGGTCATCACCATCAAATACTGCTAGTGCTGTATGCGCCTCGGCTGAAAAAGTACCGAAACAGAACTTTGCACGACCAATGCTAAAGAGTCCATTGAAAGGAGAATTCAGTTCCATATCGTAGAGTTCTCGGAAGTTTAACTTAAAGTGAACAGTCACTATGGAAACTATCATGTTCGTCGACTGTTTCCATCCGCATTCGATGTGATTTCGTCAACGCTAAATGAACCTACTAGGTGCCAATCAATTACATGTAGCTTAAAAATAGCACTTTAAAATTAAATATGAAGCGAGGGATATTCTTCTTCAGGTACTACTGGAACTAGTACCTAGTTGTAAGGTTTTGGCTGAAAGGGAATGGGAAAAAGGTAAGTACATAATGAGGAGCGCGATTAAGGCAGTGATTGAGCGATTCTGTGCACAATACGAATCATGAGGATTTTTCAGTGGTGAAATGTTTCCCGATAGGAGCCTAAGCGCAAATGTAATTCATCGACGTAATTCGAACTCACTATCGTTATTTTTTTACATTATTCAAAAAAAGATACTTGTTAGTGGGACATCGAGTGGTTTTTATCAATCTCCGTGAGCGATCGGCGGATCATTTAATGGTTTGGTATTTGGCTACGTTTAATTATGCAAAGTGTTCGCGGCAACTGATTAGTTACTTGGTTATGTTTGGTTGGCTTGCTCGCTTAGCCAGCGGAGTGGCTAAAATCAAGGCTAATGGAAACAGCGCGAATGGAAACGGGAGCATTGTGGCCGGCAACATTACAAACTTTTGATAGGCTGGCCAGTGCAGGTAATTCAAAGAAGATATCTATGTCTCAGCACGATATTCGCAGTGCGAACAATCAACCTATCAACAATTAGCTTCGTGCGCTTGAACGAACGCGCCTTTTAGATTAGCGATTTTTCTACAAATATTCACCCACACTGTTCGCAGTAACTCAGTTATGAATCCGCATTTCTAAACCAGAATAGGACGTGCGGCTGCTGCCATGGCAAGTTCAATTTTATGCGTTTTTGAGCCAAGTTTTCAGAATCTTGTTTTCATGGTCTGACTTTTTAATCGCTTCATTTTTGCTGATGATCTAATTATCGTTCACTCACAAGAATCGTATTTCTTCAAAAAACTTGAAAAAATAGTCATGATATTAGTGAAGTCCATGATAATTTTTGATCAATGATAGTAGCAATAATCGTAATTGACTATTCACATGCCACTTTGCAGAAATCTACCAATTTTACTGCAGGCGGCATGAAACTGACCGTTCTTTATTTCTTCTAATTTTAAGAGCTTTTTCCTCGGAAATACGCATTGCATCTAAATTTCCGTTAGTTTCATGGAATACGAAATGTAATGCTAATCCTCATTGGTCTATTCTGGTCCATGTGCGTAATCAATGCTATCCGTTTCTGTTTGATTCAGATTACAATCCAAAAACTTAGGCGTAAATTTGCTGCAAAGAAATTCACAAATCACAACCAAGTTCTAACGTTGACTTCGCAAAGATGCTAAAGGCTCACTATAAGCCCATCTTTCAAAGCATTGTTATGAAAACTGCCAAAAGAGACGCGTTTCATTCCGATCTCACATCCTATTCCGACTTTTCTATCATTCCATAAACTCTAACAACAGTTTGCTAATGAAATTATTAAAGTGCTATGTCAGCAATAAAAATCTAACGAAGGAAGTTTGTGTGAGGTGGAACGAACGAATTGTTTAATTCTCCATTGATTATTATAGAAAAATGTGCTCCCATTTACCGGTTGCAAAGCGAGGTTTTTCACTTTATTTATTGTACATAGCGAAATAAAAATGCCATATTTTGTTCCTCTGCTTTAACTCACGTCAGCTCTCCCCATTGCAGCACTTGAATTTGTTCCAAGGTAATGTTTCTTGGCATGCTGAATTACGGAACCTTGAGATGTTCTTTTATGAAGAGATGTTTACATGAAAGAATATTGCATGTAACTGTATCACGTAGAAAATTTTGAAAATTTGAACAATGAAAACTACACAAAAGAGGCGCTTCTCATTCCGATCACACACCCTGTTCTGACTTTTCTATCATTCACTCACCGTCTGTTAACTACACTCAGACTGAAAGGTTGATATTGTTCCGTACGGAACGCCTGTTTATACGAAATGTGCCGTAAAAAGTGATGCGAAAGTTTGAGGTGCACGTGGTACAGAGACCAGTTATATGTGGAATGTTACGACAGACAATGGTATTGCAGGGGGCCAGCCCTCACAAGGGCACAGTGTAGATCTATGGTCTTACACGTAATAGAAGGACCAGAAGGAAGAAACTGATTTCACATTGAATGGTGTCACTCCTTTCGTTCGCTATCAGCAAGAGCGAAGTATTATTGAAACAGTGCCTAGAAGTTGAATTGAAACCACCAACCTTCTACGGAATTGAGAAGTCGATTGTCAATAATATCATTAAATTACGGGTCAAGTTAGATCAAACCCTCAATGATACACATAAAGAAACATTTGGCTGTACATATGCCGCGAGATGGAGATCTGAGGCTGGATTTCAGACAGAACACCAGTTTTCTTAGGAAGTTCAACACCCACACAATTGCAGTGGTCAATACCATATCCTTCATCACCAAATAAACTATTCGTTAAAAAAGATTGATTGTTCTTACCTACTAAAATTCAGAATATAACAGGTCGAGTTACTACGTGATGTGCATGTATCAAACGAATAAAATGTCAAACACGACAAAACTTATTCATGATACGATACATGAAAAGAAGAAAAATGTGTTCAGCTGTCAGTTAATTCAACGATATAAATTCACTTCTATTCCTCACGATGCCATATGGTTGAGCAAATTCAAAGGCCTCAAGAAGAACAAGGTGATCTTAGGAATAACAAGATCCTCAAACTGAGGTGAACTTATCATGTAAGGCGGTTTTTCTCCACAGTCGCACTAATTGCATCATTGCTATTGAAATGATTAAAAAAATTAGGAGAATAATGCGATAATTGTAATCCTAAGATTTATTTATTCATTAAATCAGCAATCACAATTGATTGCGAGTTTATGCCTCTCTGTTGTCATCAATATCACAAGTATTACGATCTTCATTCCTGTACATCCGTCTGTATGCGCAGCTAACGATATTAGCGTAGGGAATCATCTATCTTCATGACAGTTTAGCTGCGATTATTGATTTGACGATTATAGAGGTGTAGGGCTAATCACCCATATTGTCCAATGATTTCTAGGGATTGATGCTCAAAACGAGCCTGAGTTTGATTACTTGAATATGCTTCCAATGATTATTGAGAGTAGCTGTTAGTGAACCATTGTTCTTTCGGGATCAGTAATAAACAACGATTTTAATTAACGCAAGTGAATAGATCTAAAACAATCGGCATATTAAACATTCCGTAAGAAAGCATTATGAGTGCCTGTTGCCATAAATACTTTGCTTAATTTAAAACAGCCGAATACCAATCCAGTAAATAATCATATCAACAGTAAATATTTTGCCGATCGCCCACAGCAAGTGCTCAGTGTTCGAATAACAGGTAATAATGATAAAAATTGGAAACCTCATTACGTTCGTTACTATCAGTTGCTGCACCCAGTTGTTGCACTATCAGTCAGCCTGTTCTGTCCGTTCATACCAGTGACTGTTCATGCAAATTTATTCACAGTCGCTTTCGTACAAGTTACAATAATAATAATAATAGTAATCTCAGGTATGAAAATATTTAACAAGAAAAGGACGATAGTAAGAAGAGTGAAAATGGATCTAATGGATCTTATCTTATTTAATTCTTCCTCAAAAAATACTCTACAAAACGATCATTTCAAGCGCAAGTAAAATTTTCTGCAAAAATTTATCAACTTAATCGGCAGCTGCGATTTGATTGTTGCCTTTCTATCATCATGAATACGTATTCTTTAACATGTGATATTATTTGTGCATAATAGTAATCTCAGGTAGGAAAATATTAGCGTAGGGAATCATCTATCATTCGTTTTCATAAATCATATCTCCTCTAATGATCACAATGTTATCTTGGGGCCACTCTCGTGTTGCACTCAAATGAAAAATTCATTCATCAAAGTACACATTCATACCATTTTGTGGCAACACCAACAATTCGCGTGCTTTTCAAGTTTATAAATGAAAAGTATCAATCGGGACACCAATGAAAGGAAGCATTCATTTGAGATGTTATTGTAAACGCGTTAAATTCGAGTCAGATATTGAAATGGAATGTTGAAACAGATGAACGCATTCTGTTGTTAGTGATATTGCATATCGGACGGAATTGGGGGGAGAAGAGCGATCATAGTCAACGTGAGGAATTCCAGAATCACTTTGCAACGTTCTTTATTTACGAACTGGGGACATTTGCAGATGCAAACGGAAATAGATAAGAATAACTAATGTTATCGCAATGAATCAGTCGTGAAATTGTGCTCTGGGTCGATCATTCTTAAAGTTAATATTAATTTTCATTTGCAGCATTCTGTTCGCTTAATTCATCTCCTCAGCAGAAAATGCCTTTGGGTTTCTTTGGTACCAGTAGCAGTGGTGTTAAACCTCAACAATTGGCCAATCCCATTGAAGATTCAGGTCTGTCTCTCTCGTTTTCTGCAATCCTTCACATTACAACATGCATCCATACATCCACCCGATCAGTCTAGTAAATCATTCAGTCAAAACAGCAACAACAATAATGACTAATGTATTATCATATTAACAACAGCAGTATTATAACAATAATAACAGTAGTAATAATAATAAGAACCGTAAGATGATTAAATTAGCTTTCCTATCGATTCAAATGATAGTGATTCGTAATGAAGGAAAGATCGATTGTTAACCTTAAAATTGAAGTAACACAGCAAACCGATGAAATACAATCAGAGAATGAAACTTTGTAAGTTGCCTAAATGATTGCCTAGAAAATGGATGAAGTTTAATTTTGCCGTACTGAAAACATGATTTTTAACATTTTGCATTCAGAAATTGATTCATTGTTAGCAGCGAAAAAAAGAGCATTTCCGAACATATTTCGCTCGTTCAGTTTTCATTGTTTTCATAATTCCCTTTTGTATGATTAAATTGCATAATGAACAGATAGATACTAACAGAAGGTGTGCTGATTTTTAGGCGTGAGTGATTCTGATGGATGTTGCAGTAGTTTTTTTTCTTTCCACAAATTGTCATTAGAAATTTTAAACTTATACCTAGTTTAGTTATACAGTTTTCTTGATAGTTCAAATCACTGAAGACAGTTTAAACTGAACCAAAAAACTCAACACCAAATATATTATTAACGAGCGTGGTAGAACGTAAGCATCATATCAACATCACACAATATATGAACGCGTCATAGTATCATCCAAATTGTAAATAACTAATTGAGTGCAATCGTCGTCAGTAAATTCAGTAACTCTTTTTTTTTTCAAGGATGTTCGGGCGCTTCCGAAAGTCGAGATTCACGCGGTGCTGTCATCAAACTGCCCAAACATACAGTTACGATTGACCGTAAACTTGCTGAAGGTTATTTTGAAATGAGTGTTTGTAATCAACTCATTGTTACCCTCAATAGTAGTCAGGATAATTTGTTCGATCACCATCACAAAACAAACACTTCTTCTTGTTGCTTGAATATGAACAAAGTATTGCCATTACATCGAAAGTTCGATCGATCTTTCTGACTTAGGAAATGCTGCTATAAATGTTCCGTGTTCCTTACCCCAACCAAACATGAGTGCATTAACGGGTTCCTTCATCTATCAGTTCTTCGCATCGTCATCAACGGATTATTTATGAGGGAGTTAATTCTGTGACAACAAAGGCTGACGGCTATTATTGAGGGAATTTATTTATTTCCCGCTTTTTTATTATAGCAGTTCATTTTGGTCTAATTGGTTCGTGAGATAATTTGTTGAATAATTAGTATTATTATGTCAGGTGGATTTGCGATAGTATATTTGGTTAGCGATAAAACTAATCGTCAATATGCACTGAAACGGCAGTTCATAAGTGACGATACGCGACAGCTGGAAGCGTGCAGACGAGAATGTCGCATTGTGGTTTGTTTGCAGTGTTGCTTTTGTTTTCATTTTTTCTGAACAATTTCCTCTTTGTTTCGTTCATTTAATATTTCCATTAAAAAACATTCGTTCGTTTGTTTGTTTTTTGAGAACGGAAGGGAAAAGCGTATTGTTTTATATTTTTATTCTGATAAAATCACCGCAGTTAATAAACCGATTTAAATAACTCGCCTGTGTTGAAATATTCTAGAGTTGCTTGGCTAGTCATAAAAATATTGTCGAATATGTGGATCATTCAGTTGTGCGCAATCGTTCCGGTGTTTACGAATATTCCTTACTGACCACTTATTATAAAAGTTGGTTTTTGAGGAGTTTTCATTTGAAATAATAATAATAATTGTAATGAAGGTGACGGTAAATATCGTTTGGATAGATTATTGGATGCAAGCGAAATTGTAGCCTTCTTCATATTTTATTATTATTCTCGCTACTTATTTTTATTCTCATTGTTATTGTGATTATTTTAAGAAACCGATATCAACAATAATTATCATTGTTATCACTCGTATTGTTCTATATTTCAGCTAGTGTTCTTCAGTTAATAAACGACCGCATTATGGCGGGGCGTTGTCTTTCGGCGAACGAAATTCTAGCAGTTTTTTGCGATATGTGCGAAGCAGTTGCGCGGCTGCATCACTCTCAAACACCCGTGATTCATCGTGACCTCAAGGTTTATTTAATCATTTTTGTATTTTACATATCATGAACAAATAAATACTTCTTTATAGGTGGAAAATGTTTTAATTGATAATCGTCGACGAGGTTCCCCACCGATTTATGTCTTATGCGATTTCGGAAGCGCCACAACAAAGGTATTAATACATTCAAATATATTTTCATTATTACGGCTGTATAATTTTTTGGTATAAGATATGCGTAGAAAGTGGGCATATCAACGTAAAATATACGTATATATGTGTATTTTCAAGAACTAAAATGAATTTATCGCATTCTAACAAGTAAGAGCGTCATTTTACATAACGAAATCGTATTGATTATGTTGTTTTTTAAATCTGTAATATTTCGGATTTTGTTGAGAAATAACATTTCAATCTTTGATTAATAATCTATGTGGTGTTGCAAAGCTGCATCACTCGAGACTGTGCACGTTATGAAGACTGGGAATGTAAGCACTTGTGTTTATTCGAGATGTCCGCATTTTTATGACAGTTTCAATATCATTTGAAAAGTATGATCGTTTGATTATGTATGTTTAATTTTTAAGATACTTTCAACAGAGTCTTATTCAATGCAGTATATTGAAGAAGAAATTCAACGTTACACAACGTTAAGTTATCGTGCACCAGAAATGATTGATCTATATTCAAATAAACCTATAGGTTTGCGATTTATTTGTTTATTCGATAAGCAGTAATAACAGCGGTATTGTACAAATATACTTAAAGTGCAAATGAATACAATCAGTTATTATGATTACTATCAGTCATGATACAATCTATCAGTACATCATACAATCTATCAGTCGTGATGCAATCGTTATTATGATTACTACTTATTGTAATGGTTCTGATTATTATTATCATCATCAAATGTCAGGTACCAAAATAGATATTTGGGCGCTTGGTGTGATGTTATATAAGATGTGTTACTTTATGTTGCCGTTCGGTGAGAGTGCACTTGCGATTCAGAACTGTGCTTACTCATTTCCAACAGAACCGCAATACCCCGATGAACTACGTGCGATCATAAGTAAATTATTGTTGTTGTTATTATCATAATTGTTATTAATATTGGTTCATTTTATTATTTTTTTGAGAAGTGCTTTTGGAAGGTGACATAGCGAAAAGACCGGATATTTTTCAAACTGCCTCGTTGGCATTCGAGGCCCGTTCAATGCGTTCACCTGTTGGAAATTTAAATGTTTGTTTGTTTTTTGGTTTGTTCAGTTTAAATATAGTGGCGAAATTGTTGAGTGGTGAGGAAAATTATTGTTGATGCATTATCTGCACTTTTTGGTAATCGATAATCAATTTGTGATCCTTTTAGAACGGTTATAACCAGAATAGTATTAATCATAGTAATAATGATTACGGTTATTATTATTGTTTGTTATTGTCAGTTTTATTGTTATCATAATAATAATTTGAGGTGAAATTATTATTATGATAATAATAACTATTGAATTATGATTACAACAATTGAAGAAGGTGAAACCAATTCCAATGTGTGATGCATTGGCAATATTGCGAGGTGAATGTCCACAATCATCTCAAAGTCAACAACAACCAACGCAATCCCCAACAATTCCTTCATCGTCTATTCAAAAATCTTCTGATTCGCCTCCAGCTCTAATTAAAACTTTCGAACAGGTTTTTGTTTGCTGCAAGCCGAATTTTTTCATATTCTTGTATTTCTACTGCATTTTACAATTATTATGTTTTGTGCATTTGTTGATCAAAGTTATGAGAATAAGAAGAAGAACTAAATCATGTGTAGAAGTGACAGTAACGATAGTTTTAGAAGGGTTCATCAACAGCAGCAAGTGCAACAAATTCACAACCAATAATTGTGAATATCAACCCACGTTTAAGACCAAAACCATCGAATCACCAGATTGCTTTTCCAACCGTAGGCGGCAGTACACCGGGTCTGATTTGTTCATCATCGGTGGTGGCTCAAGCATCGAAATCAGGCGATCAAACTGATGCGAAAAACATATGCCCATCTCTATTAACTACAGCCATTCGCCAAGCCAGTGAAGCCAAAACCGCTGATCATCCGCTTGGCTTCACGGATCTGGGTACGCTTCACTGTTAACGCATCTTCGTTGAATTGTTTTCTCTTTGAAATTAATTCCTGAAAGTTAATTTTCAATATTTCAGAGGAGCAAATTCGATGTGCTACCACCGTATCTTCATCATATTCATCTGCTGCTGCTGGTAGTAGTAGTAGTGGTGGAGCTGCCCTAGGTGCTACTCCAGCAGTACGTGCATATATTGTCGTCGATAAAAACAATATTGCAACAACAACAACAAATAGTAATAATAAATTTGAGAATGAATCTGAATCAAATAGAAGTGGAAATACTGCAAATTCAAACATGAATGAGAATCAGAAACGAAAACTGGACGATAAAAATGCGAAAACAGCAACAACAGTGAAACAGAATCAGTATCATTTATCAATTCATGCATCAGCCCCACAACTGTTCCATGAGCCAACTACACAAACAGGTAGTGGTGATGGTAATAGAGGAATGATCGCGAGAGGTGTTCTGGCTGCTGATCAATTCAGTAATCACGTAGCATCGATTTCAGCAGCAACTTCTCTAGGTGGTGCTCTTTCTACTGATGTTCCTTCAGGAAGCGGTGGTGGGACTTCGCTGAAATTGAGTGCTTTCAAGTGAGTAATGTTCTGTTGATTCAATCCTTTTTATTTTAAATGTTGGACTGCTGATAGATAGTTGTTTGGGAATTTGATTTTTAATCGATTAGAATTAAAAAATTATTAAATGAATGAATGAACAAGTACATTTTATATACTCGTTTCAGACCATACAGTAGTGTGAGTACAAGTGCGAAGAAGAAAAGCTCGATAAGTGATGCAAATGCCATTGTTACTTCGGAGGTAGGTAGATTCATTTTGTCAAACTTTCAAAAGTTACACCAAAAATTCGCTGAAAATTGTGTGTCTTTTTAAAGTTGAATTGTGTATGTCTTTAGTTCGATGTGAATGTGTGCAAGTGGAATCCGTTCATGAGTGCACCATACAAAGAATGCACAACGACAGCAACTAGCTCTAAACGTAATGCGATGATGGATGATCGAAGTTTTGGACGATGTTTCGATGAGCTTCCGCGTAGTAATCAACTCACTTCTGCTGGCGGTCGGTTCTCATTGATTGTTGCTATTTGTTCTTGTTGTTAATTTTTTAAATATCCACACGGTAATTTTTCGAAAATGTTAAAGGAGGAACAAGAAACGAAACAGTGGCAGAATGTTGTGATCAGTTGGTCGCCAATTTCGATCCGTCGGATCCATTTGGCGCAGCTCCATTCACTTCGTTTAATTTAAGGTTGTGTCTGCACTGCAATCTTGTCTGTTTGTTCGTTTGTTTGCTGTTTTTCAAATTTTCAAAAAAAAAAAAGTTGGATGTTTCACTCGACGGAAGTTTTGAATATTCCCTAAATGGTCCTAGGTTTTGGTAGAAACGTTTTGGAATTCTCATTCAACATTTTGAATGTCTCCCCTTCCCCCCCCCCCCCCCCCCCAAAAAAAAAAAAATTTAATTTGCGTTGAAAATGTCCAACTGTACCAGTGCAAAGCATTCATTTATTTTCATTCTATTCAATTTACAGCAAAGTCTCAGTGGCAACAAACTCTTTGCAAAAACAACAAGATAAGAGGCAGTACAGCGATGATGAAAAACCAGATGTGAATTTTTATGCGGAAACGGTGTGTTCCATTTGTTATTGTTTCAATCATTTCATACAGTGATGATTATGACGACTGTTATGTTTTTTCTTCTCTTTCGATATGTTCACAGTTGAAACCAGCAGTGTGTAGCATCCATCGTGCGGGTGTGCATATTTTTGTTGTGATCCGTTGAAATTCGGTTTAAGTTTAGGTTTGGGGATTAAAATAACTGTACTTATCGCTAAACCACTCGCATGAGTTTGTCTGTGGAATCACTGTCGACAGTACATACACGGCGCAGTCAATGCAGTGCTGAAGAAGAAACATCAGTTATATGTTGAAAGAAGACAGGTTGAAGCTGGTTGGGCATATTTTGAGGCGTGATGACAGTAAAATTATCGCTTCTGCATGAACCGTCTCTTAGAATTAGTTGGACACAGACAAGAGGTAGAAAGTGACGATTGATGTGGAAAGAACGAATTAAAAGCGATCTCAAACTCGCTGCATTTAATGAGATAATCAAAGTGGCAACTTCAGTTTCTGATCGAAACAATGAAACTACGTGGAGTAGTATAAAGTGGATACAATCTGTAGATATTGATAGCTGACGACAGCACGAAATGGCGGAATATGTAGGAATGCCACGATAGATAGCAGCACATTAATGAAGTGACCTTATTGGCACTTTAGTAGTAGTAGTAATCGGTAGTAAACTCACTGCATGAGAACAGTAGGTAGATAATTGTAATTGTAAGTGGAATGTCTTGTTGTTGGAAATAGCTATATCACAGTTTCAATGAAAGAACGAACAAATAAGCTCTAATCGTAAACATAAAATGATTATTCATTCAAAGCAGTGCAAATTTATTTTGACTGAATTTTAACGTTAAGGTAGTAATATTATCTCGCATTTGTTCGATAATCATCACTGGTGAGTGCATTTTGAAGGGTTGCGCTGTTCTGGAGGATGAAAGTGAATGTGATGAGGTGCGTATGGAGAGTCGACGACGATTCAGCTATGAGCACTTTGATGGGGTCGGCGATAACGCGTCTTCGGAGAGTCGCGATCCACAAGACGATTTCACCAGTGAGGATGACGATGTCACTAAGGTATTGTTATTGTTATTATTTATTGTCTAAAAATATGTTCATAATAATAAGAAGAATGCACACAGGCAGAGGGTATAAGTGATTGGTCGACAAGTCGATCGCATGAAGGCGGTGTTGAATGGATGTTGTCCGATGAAAATGCTCAACATGATGAGGGCGAAGAGGAGGATGAGAACGATTCGGATAAGATGTTAAGAGGAGGCGATACTGATTGTGTTGGTGATAAGGGTAGGAGAAAGCAAACGGAAGAACGACAGTTATTGTTATTATTATCGAATAACGATGTAGCTAACGAATCGAATATGAACAGACAAAAAATTTCGTCGTCATCATTTCCATCGTCATCGTTGGTGATCAATAAATCAGGAAATTTACAACGTAACATCGAAGAGACCATAAAAATTTCGAATTCATCCAGTGGATTATCATTATTGGAGAATATTTCAACGTATAATACAACTGAATCTTCATTATCCGCTTCCTCTAGCGATTCTTCATCTACCTCAACAACAACATCCACTTCTGAATTTGCATTCACTCAGTCGTCCGCTCTAAACCAACAACAAAACGCTGGCAATAATGCCGAAGAAGTAAATATAATTTGTTCGAATAGAATAGGTAAAAGCCAGTCAAAAAAACATGCGCATGATAGTCATAGCCTTTTCCTGCTCCAGGCCCGATAGCGATTATGAAGAAACGACATTGTTTGCTGGAAATTTCGATTTCAAAAAATAGAACCACTTTTTCTCCCGCTGATCGAGTCTCGAACCCGCGATATGGTCTTAATTTCCGGTTATGTCCAATTGAGACGACGTCACGGGTTCGAGTCCCGCTCGCGAAGAAAACTTTTGCTCGAAATTGGTTGCTGTACCAATGTCATTTGTTTATCTCTTTGCCCATTAGTGCCGGCGATTGTTCTCCAACTCGCAAAGGTAATAAATGTAATACGTTTTTAAAATACTGCTTTGCTTATACCAAATTGTTGTTTTTGCTTATAAGTAATTTAATTAAAGTTCCTCAAATGTTCCACAATATAATGTCTAGTGAATAAAGAATAAAATTGATCTGAGCTCAAGCAAAAGCAATAAATTGTACTATGTAAAGAAGTACGTTAAGAATGTAATGCATCATTATCCATTTATTCGTTATCCTCAGGTGAGGACAACCAACAGCGTTAATGAATTAATGGTGATGTCGTTCAGTTATTTTTCTTTCAACCGTTGAATCAGTGACATTTCATCATGTTTCTATTTATTCAGAAACTTCCTTCACGAGCCCTGGCAGCAGCAGCAACAGCATCTAAGAGTGTTCAATCAGAAAATGCTTTTCATCAACAACAAACGCTCAATAATTCAGTCCAAATAACCACAGCGCAAATCAGGCACGATGAATCAAATCTATCACAACAACGCAAGTTCATAAATTCACCAGAACGATGCTCGATCTCGTTGAATAATGATCGTGACCAGCAACAAGAGCATTATTATTTTTATGGCAATGAAAACAAGCAAAATGGTAATTCAAAGCCGAACACCACCGAGACAGTACCCACAAGTGCAGCCGTTGTGCTTCAGCAGCAACTTCAGTCTGCAGGTGTTTATCATCAATATTATCAAGCCGCAACGACCACAACAACAAATCCATTCGCTTCAGAAGCTCTGGCAGCAGCAACTACTAGCGAAAAAGTGCATTTGGAGAATTTATCATCCGCTCAAACAACTCATCCATCGACGACGATTATGGTTTCATCGATATTCGCCAATGATGATATTCATAAGCAACAACAACAACCACCGAAACCGTCTTCATTGTCCTTCCCTTCAGCATCGACATCCTCCTCACCATTTGTTGTTCATCGTCTAACCGGATCTACTGCTACAGGTGAAACAACTCGAGTGGAAGGGAAATCGGATGATCAAAATCTGAATCTGAATTTATCTCCGCCAATGTCAGTTTGCGATGTAACGGCGGCGACGAATAGAACAGAGGCAGCAGCAGCAACAACACCTCAACAACAATCAGTTGATGCTCCTTGTTCGAGCTCTGTAATGAGCCATCATGCAACAACAACAACGACCAATTATTGTTTCTTATGTGCGCATAAAACCGATTCAACATCGCATTGTTGTTGTCGTTCGGTTGGAAGTGTTACTGCTGATATGATTGCGGCTGTTAATGTGCAACTTGAAACGGGATTTGCTGGTTGTAATAATGATGATGGTGATGCGCAAACACGACTCAGAGCTAGAACACTTCCAACAACAATAAGTGAACAGCCGATTGTCAAGACAAAACGGTTTTCATTTAATCATTTCTTCAATAAAACAGATTAGAATACGAATACAGTTTAATTAGCATTCTTATGAAGTAATTTCTCGCCGTTAAAACTAAATAAAATTTCTCTTCTTCATCATGAGCTCGCAGTTAGAATAATATTTATTATGAATTATAGGTATGGTATAGTTATGTATATGCATTTAGTTGTACGCGAGTATTTTTTGTTGATCGCTTTGTTTACTTTGATTTCTTTTCAAAATTGAGAATAGCATTAATAATGATAATGGTAATAGCAACATTAATAACATGCTAGTAACAACAATATTAGTAATTATAACAGTAATTGTAATGCTGTGGCAATCATTGTAATAATAATGAAAATAATAATAACAGTTTCAGGTTCCTCTTAACTGATACGGAGAAAAAAAATAAGAGTTCAACTGAAAAAAGTGGTCGAAAGCAGCTGCAACAGCAACAACAACAACAATCGACGCCTGGAAGTTGCAGTACTTTCGAGACAATAACAGCTTTCATTAAGTCACCGCGAGAGAAACATCGCAATAAATTCAGCAGTAGTGCTAATGCTACTGCTTCATTATCAAAACGGTATCTTTTTTTTGTTGAAAGAATGAATTCATTTTCAAGTTTCTCGAATGCTCAGCACTTTTGGTTGTTTTTCCTCACATTTCTCCTCGTCTTTTCAACAGTAATCCATTCTTGTTCTCCATTAGCAATGTATGTAAATTTGTTCTATCGCCGCTAGACATTATCAAAATGTTCATTGTTTATCCATCAACTGATCATAGAATGCCCCACCATCCGAATTTTACTTAGTGATTATCGTTAGCTTGAGTCGGTTGGCGGGCCAGTTGACATGTTGAATTCGTAACTGTGCAGTTCTAGATTCGAACGTTCATGCTCATTTTTATGTTGCTGTTCACTTTTTTTTGGCATGCTTCAAAACAAAGAGGAGAACCTAACGAAACAGATTTATCGTTCTCACTTACTGAAATTTTTTTTGTGAGAATTTCCATTTTTGCTCAAGTACATGTGTGTTCTTGGAACAGAAGAAAGATTTGACTAGGCGAAAATTGATATTTATGTATGTATATGTGTTCATCACTTGTAATAAACGAAATTATGCCTGTCTACAATTATACGCTAATGCACACACAAGCCATAACCGACTGATGATAGCGTGTAAGGTTTTTTTTGCAGTGAATGAGGGAGTTTTTTTGTTTTTGTATGTGATAATATTATAGGGTATCGTTGAGCCGTACTTCATCATCTAGCGATGAGCAGTCAGCGCAAACGACAACAGACGATAGTGGCGCTGAAATGTTTTCTTGGTTAGTGAACGCTTCGAATCGATCAATGAATGAGATGAGATTGGCTTTTGTCAGAAACACCAAAGTTAGATATGATCACGTTCGATAAATGCGTATGCGATCATTTCGTTTATGCGTTCAGATTCAAGAGCAATTCAAAAAGTGTTATTTCACAAAAATTATTATTACGATCGTTGATTGATTCATTTTCAATTGTCTTCTTGTTCAGTGAGTCGTCAACAACAAATTCGAAATCTCCGTTAGTTGCTGCAATGGTCGGACGAATGCATCACCACCATCATCATCAACGGAAGAAATCATCGGGTACGTCAAGTATCGGCACCCATTGTTGTATCATTAATCCATGAATATCACCGAGCAGTTGATGGTGATATTCCTTTAGGAACTTGTTTAAATATTAGAGGCAGACGAGTGGTTTGATGTAGGATCATAGATTTTGATCGGGTGATTTGTTTGGTTATTGATGAAAGAGTTATGAAATTCCAGGTAAACCTTCATCAATGTCAGCCACATTGAACGCGTCAAGTTTCGTGAACAGTACTTTTCAAGGTGAAGATTTCGAAACGACACCAACATCATCCACAATGAAAAAGGATGTGATGAGTCGCAAATCATCATCGTTTTGTTATCACGATCAAAATCAAACATCTTCGACAAAGAAATCCACTCATAACAGTGCCACTTCAAGCGATAAGAATAATAATAATAATGATAATAGTGAAAAGAAGAAAGCAACAAGTAAATGATATGTCATCCATTAATGGTCAACATAGTATTGACAGGCGCCGTTTTAGTAGCATTGCTGTATGTATACTCATATATTTCTTTAACATCATAATAATCGTCATCTTGTTATCATCACCAAATAAGCTCTAATTGAATTTACGAAGCTGGGTTATATTTTTGCTTAAAGGAAGCCAACGGTTCTCTCCTGAACGAGTAGATTAGCAAGCGGAAGCCAAAATTCAAAGAATATGTTCAATTGTTTTTTTTGCTGCTCATTTGACTGATTCATCTTTTTTTTCAATGTTTACATTGTTCCTAGAAGATTATTTATTTATTCATTTGATTATTTATTTACTGATTAATTTGTTTTTTGTTAATTATTTATTCATTCAGTTGCTAACTAATTTGATGGCAGCGTCAATGTTTTAAAATTTATTTCAGCCTTAAAGAGTAGTTTTAATGTCTTGTATCTTCAGTTAGAAAATTTCATCAATGAATTTTGTTCGCATGTTGAGCCGAGCTTTACTATGCTCTACTGTGTGATTCCTTCATGTTTTGCATATTTTTGATTATTCTTGTCGTATCTACTGAGAGTTCATAATAGCAAATATGAATCATGAGTAGGTTTGGTTTGTAAGATTTATGTATAATAATATCATTATTATCGTTGTTGATATTATTATTCATTATTGTTGCTATTACTTATCGGTCCGCATATGTAGAGGTGATATTAAATACAAATGTGGAATTTAAAATTGTAATGTGATTTTTTGACTGTTTTAATTTCTGTTGTTTTCTCCGCAAAATGTTCAGTGTTATTTATTTCACTCATTTATGATTCTCTTGTAATCGTTCGTTTGCCGTTGCTTTATTTTTATTTAGTTTCCATTTGTTTTTGAACAGTTTTATCCAAATGTTATCACATAGACATTTGAATAAGTACTCATCAACACTTATATTCCCGTCTGGATATGTATTTCATCTAAAAGATGGTCTGGTCTGTATAAAGGTTATTATTATCTTTAGCATTATCATTATTTGTCAACATTGTCATGATTTTGGTCGAAATTTTATTCATTCATTCAATTGATTCTTTATGCATTGTTCTATAGACATGAGTGTACTTTTTGTGAGATTGCTTATTTACTTATTTCATGTGCATCATATATGTATTTTCAATTAGTTATACTACTGATCGTTTTTCATTTTGTTTTGAGATTATGATGATTGCATAAATATACTTGAGATACTTCATCAGTAAATAATATTATTGTTTATTTTGAACGAGCAACAGCTGTATCGTTTAGTTCCGTTTTTTCGAAGCATTACTCCAGGATGGTTGAGCATCGAACGTTTGTTGTTTTTGTTCTAGTGAGTACTTTTACTGGATCTTTCAGTGCTATTCTACTGAAACGATTGTTTGTGGCTGGGTTGAGAAAGAGTTAGCCACTCTGTGATTGTTAAGGTGGTCATTGCTTTCAGAAGGTGCATGATTTCGGAAGTGTATGGCAAATGTCAATAAATGTTTGTTATTGCACTCGTATCGCTTGATTGTGTATATTCGGTGAGAATGTCTCGGTTATTTGTAGGTGATGAGATGGCGTCGTTGATTTACATGAAACAAGTGCTGGATATTCTCGATGAATCACCTGATTTGAAGAAGTCGTGGTGGGGTGTCGCTAAACAAACCGGTTATGCGGCCAGTGGAGCTGCAATCGGCGGAATTGTCGGCGGTCCAGCTGGTGCGCTCGTAGGTACGTTGATTGGCGGAGTCGTTGGATATTCAAGAGCAGATCCATACGATGTTCGTTGCCTAGACGTTTGTTTACCTATCTGTTTGTTGGTTTTGTTCATCCTACTTTGGTATACTCATTATTGTTATTATTATTATTGTTATTATTATTGTTTATTATTATTATCATTATTATTATTATCATTATCATGGTTAACAACCATAATTTGCAATGACAATGATAACAACAAGTAAAGTGTTGAATTATTTGCATAATTCAACACTTTACTTGTTGTTATCATTTTCCTTTTCATGTGTTATCATAAAAAGAATTGTTCAAAATAATTATCACCATCATCGTATCGTAAGAACTTCCTTTCTGGAGGCAGTTGTTATTTTTACGAATTAAGCGAATTTCTAAGATCAAAAGTGACAAAAAAATTTCAGAGTTTGATAACAACTTTAAATCGACTATCAGATCGTGAAAAGATGCGTCTGGCCAGAAAAATTCAAATTCTTGTGGGAAGTGTAACGATAGCCGAATTCGTGAATTGGATTCAATCAGAAAATAATCGTAAAATCCTATTTGATTTGCTACAGAACTGTATCAACAATTCATCTTTCAGTTATACGTAATTCGAAACCAGCATAATGTTTTGCCACCCGCAATTGGGTTTATTAACTAGTCATAAGGAACATTATTGTTGTTACTGTTCCTACCATTATTTTTTACTGTCATTGAAACAATCGTTGAATTGTAAATTGTAGTCTTTGTTTATTTATTGCCTTGTTGTGTTGACTCTTTCATTTTGTTATTATTATCATCCTTGTTGTTATTATTATTTTCGTGAAATGGCTGCATAATGAAATTCCGCTCAAATTAGGTTGGCTGCCTGTTGTTGTGATTTCTTCTTGTATGTTTTGTCCTCTAAAGACTGTAGTCTCTCGTCTTGCAAATCATCTGTTCATTTTTTAAATCATTATCATTTTTTAGCCGAGTTTTCATATTATTTCAATCGCTCTGGTGTCTTTTTTTTTGTTCGAATGTGTAATTTTCAAATGTCTGAATTTAGCTTGTGAGATTCTTAGAAATTATTGAACTGAAATTGAATTCTTTTAAATTAGCAGAGCTTTAAAATTTTCCCAATCCTTTGCTCAATAAATCAGTTGTGAGCTGATGTGCTCGCTTTTGCCGATTTGTTGTGATAGTGTGAATTCAGAATTTGGGAGCTTCCAGCTTAAGTAGACGCAATTCTTCGAAATGGAATCAATTGGATAAGTGAGTAAAAGAGTCTAAGTTGAGTGAGCCTGGCAGAATAAATCTGTCTCATGGTCTGAGTCTGTAGAATGGGTTCTCATAGGGAGGAAATTACCCCTGTTTGAGTAATGGAGGGGGTCTGGAAATTGGTATTTCGTGCAGTCGTTATGACCGAACGTCATTGTGATGCTACTTTTTCACTTGGATATTTATACACGTTTGATCATGGCAGTATTCTTCTTTCTTCTGTTTTTTGAGTATCTTTAGCTCGTCTGGGCCTAAACAAAAGTCAATTTGAAGTAGTCACAACTACTTCGAAGTTCTTTAATATATTGGCTGACATTGCCCCTTATGAGCAGTAGAAATCGGTTGAGCTTTTTGGTGCGGCAAAAAGGATCTTTGGTTTGGTGCAAAACGAACGAATATTTTCGAATTGATTGATTGTTATTATCCGGTTGCACTAAAAAGTTTTGGTACGCTGTCTAATTACTGCATTTAATGGGATTTTCGCAGAGTCAGCGATTTTTTTTGAATGATTTAACTGCTCGGTCGTGACATAGGTATCTGGTTTATGACGAATGTGTACCTTGTGGTCAATGTGCTTTGAGATTCTGGATTGAATTTTTTTTCATGTTTGTGAATGAGACATTGTGCATGTAAATAGTAAGTTGTTGTAGCGGAAGGGGGAGGGTAACGACGGCCTACCAGTTCACCGACGGGGGCAGTGAAGCAGCCGAGCATGAGAACCACTGATCTATAGTCTCGAAACGAACGCATAAACTGTTGATGCGAATATCCGCTGGCAAATACTCAATGTACGTGTACATATGTATATATTCTCTTTTCTTATAATGAAACTTATCAAATCATAAAGAGTTTCTTTGCAGAAGAATAATCACATTGTTACAATTGAAATAAATTGTGGTTTCTCATTCCACAATACCAAATCTATCTGTCATATATGCACCAAATAGCATGAAATACCACAAAAATGAGAACATCTATATCGGAACACATTTTACGTTGATCACTAAATTTGTTCATCAAAGAAAAAGAGTGTACGCGGAATTGAGTACGCAATGAGCGGAATTTATCGGTCATGAGCGGAATTTGTGTAGATTTTTAAAAATACAATCATACATCATAAAAGAGATTGCCGAGTAATCATTACGGTTTATGTGTAAATAGTTTCTTTCGAATAATAAATTGTGTAAATTTATGCGCAATAGTTGTTTTTTCTCGCACCCAGCAGACGTTCATACTGGATGATCGGTGAGGTGCGTGTTGTTGGCACAACAAAAAAGAAATGACAGATTCTTCATCGACGAGCAGTGAAGAAAGACGAGAAGATGAACAGAAGAGCGCAATTTTGGACGAGTTACCTCCCGAACTTTTACGGTTCATTTCTCTGAAATTCTTTTTGTTGTAGGAACTGAAAAAAATCTTTTTTCGAAGAATCTGATGTGAAGTTTTGAAATTTTTTCGAACGTTTTCTAAGTGAAGCAGCAACAGACTGTGAAACAACAGCAGAGTTAATGTTTTCTAATCGTTCTTTCGAACAAATCACCTTAGTCATCTCAAAAACGTATAATGTTGACTTATTGAATATTTTCATACAACGTTGCGATTTATTTGTTTCGGTTTTGAGGTTCGGCTTGTTTATTGCAAAAGCATTTTATGGACGTGAACATTACGTAGTACTCGATTACATACAAAAGAGAACCTGCTATAAAGAGGATGACCTTCGACAAATCACCAAATTTGATCAACGTATGCTGCGTGGAGTTAGTTCATTGACTTGTTTGTTTGTCTACTTATTTATTTGTTAATACTTAGCGTCTTCATTCCAGGTTCTCATTCAACTAAAAGTCGATAAAATTTTGAAAGAGCGTATTCTAACTGAAGAGAATGAGTCACGTCCGCGAAAAGTGATTTATTATTATATTAACTATCGAGCACTCTTGAATGTTGCAAAATATAAAATCGACCATATGAGGTATTTATTATTATTATTATTATTATTATTATTATTATTATTACTTGTATTATTGTTATTATGATTATTGATTAATTTGAAGCAGATGGAATTATGATATGGTAATAAATAAATTTTAGACAGCGCCTTGAAGTGAAAGATAAAGACGAAGTTCATAAAGCATCATACCGTTGTAGTGGATGTGCTCAACATTATGATGTTATGGAGATCGATAAAATATTCGATCCGTTCACGCAAGAAATGAGATGTTGGAGGTGTCAGCAGCTCGTGGAACCTGACGAGACAGCTGGTCCAACTGATGAAACAAGGTATTATTTTTATCAGTATTATAAGCAGCTTTTTCTGTATGTATTTACATACTATTTTATTGATTGTGCTGTGAAAATATCATTTCATAAGTAAAATATGTGTTCTTTTTTAAGGTCTTCGTTGGCGCGTTTCAACGATCAAATGGCACCGTTATTTGCCATGATCCAAAGTCTTGATAGAATACGTTTAGCACCGCATTTATTAGAACCTCCGATCAAACTGGAAACTGCACCTGATGAAAGTGTGTTTATTCATTATATTAACTCATTACTGTTTTATGTGTTCAGTGATAATGATATCAGTCAGTGTTTTCTTGATCCTTCGACATTGATTCGGCGATCGATCACAAACGTGATTTAGAGGCTACTTTTCGCAATTATACCCAGTGTTTCGCAAGGCGAGACATTCATAAAAATGTACACTCGGATTGTTCGAGCGAAAAGAGCGATCACTATCTTCACTAGTTCTTTGTATTATCATTAATTTTAGTTATTATCTATAATTATTGTTAATTGTTCATTGCTATTGACAATATTATTTACTATTAAGGTGATATGTCCAGAAAAGTGCTACATATGGGTGCACGAGCCTTCCAAGGCAATCAGCTGATGTCACGTTCGACGATGTACCAGAACGGTATTACAGTGAGTATTGAAAATGAGAACAGTACCACAAAAACTGATGATAAAAAACTTGTACCATGGCTGCAAAGCCAAGAGCATTCACCACCCCCAGTCACGGTAGTCTTTTTCACTAATTTTTTGACATCTTTTTGTTATTAATCTTATTATTATTATTGTTTTCATCATTATTATTGTTATTATTATTGTTATCATTAATATTATTATTATCATTATTATTAAGGCAAGAGAAGCATCATCAGATGAAGCGTTGACAGCATTGGCGGGAACCTCAACGACACAGTCATCAACATCTTTCAGTGATGAAACGATCATTTCAACCACATCAGAAGACATCTCATTTTCATCGTCAAGTTTGGATATTGATACGTTATTGTTGGAAGAATTCGAAGAGGTTCAATTTTATGAATTCAATAAAAGACATATCGTTGTGTTTCTGTTTTAAAATAGAGATGAGATGGTGGGCGGATACAATCATTCGGTTTGTCCGTCGACGATGGAAATGAGGAACGATGAAATTTTAGGAGACGAACAGAACAAAACAAGAAGAAACTAGCGTAGAGGCACGTTCAGATTCGGTGACCGCGAACACGTCGGCGGGTCGTACAACACCATCTACGTCGAGCAATAATAGCGGCACATCGGTGACCCGATCATCATCTTCCAGTTCAGGATCTTCATCGAATTCAACAGTAGCCAGCAGAACGCCATCGAGCTCAAGCTCAAAAACGATGACAACGACAACAACAACAACGACACTGAGTGAAGAAGACAGTTTGAGTGCATCATCAACAGGTTATAATGTTGAGGCGAAACGTGCGAAGCTGGATGATATATCTGCAAGTGACACATTGCTCAATGGTAAAATGGATACAACAGAGAAATTGAATATGTCGGATGATATCAGTGATGCAGATAGGACGCTTATTGCGGACAAGAATGAAGCGGATTCAATTGGTGACGAAGAAGAGGATGATACCGATAATGATAATGTCGATGATGAAGAGGAAGAAGAAGAAGATACAGTGCTGACTGTCGGTGGTAAAGAGTATTATTTAGACGAGATTAATGCTGATTTGGTGAAGCAAATGACTGCTGCAGAACGTAATTTGTACATTCATATAATGCGAGAAAAATTTGATTTTTAACCTGAAAAGTTTGCATCTGATTTTGTTTATGTTTTTTCTCGTATTCATAATCTTTTTAATGCGTTTTTGATGACGTGACGTATTTTCGAATTTTTCATATTTTCAATACAAAATTATTCAGTAATTCGCATATGTTTTTACAATGATTCTAGTTGTGTATTATAATGATAAGAATTGTAATTTGATATATTCTTCAATTTGTCAGTATTTCAACGTTTCACTCGACATATTTCGATGTGTCATTTCAACTTTTCATATCTTTAAAAATTCGCTTCAAAATTGTTCATATTTTCAGTACGTTGTATATTAATTGATTATGGCATGTAAAATCACTGTTTCATTCTTATTTATAATCATTTAATTAAATTTTTAATATTGCTACGTTTATAATTACAGTTATAAGTTTTATAATTGTTGTTGTTGAATTATTATTATCATCGAACTTTATAATTGCTGCAAAATTTTGATGTACATACGTGAATATTGAATGAACTTTTTAGATTGCATTGATATTTAGGGCTGAGGGATTGACGAATAATTTAAGAGATTTGATAGGGAGGTGCGTTTGCGAACGATTGAAGCAGACGCATACAGGGATATAGTAGCAACAGTTCGGTTTGTTTGAGGTAACTCGTGACCTAACCGAATTGAAGGTGAAAGTTTTTTAGGTTGAGTTGTTATACTTATTTCATTACTACTGCTGTTATCATCAGTACTGTCATTATTATTGTTGTTATTGTTTTTGATATTACTGCTGCTGTTGTAAATGTAAAAGCGATGAAAGTGAATGATCCAATTGACATTTAAATTCAAAAGGTCATTGAAGTTTGCTTCTGAATCGAATGTTTCTCTTAAAGAGTCAGTGTATAATTTTAGCTGAACCAATAACTCCCGAACAGTAGTAACTGTTGACCAGTTAATTTGCGGTCAGTTTCAGATCTTGTAAGCGAGGACAAGATTTTTCGTTGATTTTAAACCAATTTCCGACAACTTTCCGGTTCGTCGGTAATGATCGAAGTTCAAAACTGTGCGAATGGATTGTTCGGTCAGAGTTTAACCGAAGCAATGTTTTGTTCGTTTACTGTGACTAGTAAGTCATCCGTCGTATTCATCATCAAGATCTAAGAGTTTCAATAAACTTTCACATGTTATTCGTAACCATTTTCTGTCCCGAAGTATATGTTCATTTTAAGAATTAAAAAAAGCAAATCTGCCCATGTACGAAAAATCGTTGCGTCTAAGAAGCAGAATTTTTAACAATAAATATTCTCTATTCTACGCAAAAATTACTACACAATCTAGTCATATTTTTACAGACATAAAAATGAGAGGAGTAGGTATGATCGAACTGCGTTTTTTTTTTCGTGAAATCATTTTTCGACTCTTATCAAAAATTTTAAATTTCTCTTCCAGCTGAGCAAACTTGGTTGTTTACTTCTTTACACGATATTATTGTGTAAAGATATGTATAGTGTTTATGTATAATATAGAATTATTTATGTGTGAATATCTATTTCATTGTTGTTAGTTGTTATTTAGTGCGTTTAGTTTGCAGCGATTGATAAGATGCTTCAGTACTTCTTATCCTCATCCAATTCGATTCGATTCATTTAAGTTGTGCAATTTCAATACGATCGCGCCTATTAACTGCATTATTCACTCTTTAACTAACAATTCAACAGCCTTTGCCTTCAACTACTCCAATAGCAGCGGTCATGCATTCATTCATTCATTCACATCAATCTTTTATAATGTTTCATTCATACAAAATATATGTATATGTGTATAATATCGTAAATTACGCATTAACATAACGAATTAATCAAATTAATGAGGTAAAAAAAATTGTTCTGAATGTTGGGATAATTACTGTTATTTTGTTTTGAATTAGAAGCAGTCATCATTATGCATTGTCGTTAGTATTGTTTGATTGGTATCGTATTCAGTTCCAAATGCTTTTAATTGGCGTGACTGCATAAGGTATTATGAGTTAACAAGTGAGAATTCAATCCGTAACAGGGAGAAAATATGGTTCGTTATCCTTCTCATAGGAGCTCGTTGGGTAATAGAATAATCGCTTCTGAAAACTTTTTGTAACGGACGAACATGTCGGTCTTTGGATATTGTTGTGGAATATAGATGTGTATTTGAAAGTGAGGATTGGATGGCATGCAACTGTTTGGTGAGCGACAACGGATAGCTGGCTTCTTGTTGTCGTCATATTGCTGTCACTGCTGATGAGCGATTCATGATAATAACGATTGCTTTCAAAATGTTTATTACTATTATTATTATTATTATTATTATTATTATTACTATTATTATTATTATACAATACATTAACATATATAGATTATTATTATTATTGTTATTATTATTGT